GTAGCCGCCGGTGATCTTGGCCTTGCCGGTCTCGCAGTTCTGCAGGGTCCGGCACTCGTCGGTGAGCAGGGGCCCGGCGGCCCGGTGAATGCAGCCGTCCACTGTGGGGGGCGGGCGGTGAGCCTGGCGCCTCGCGTCCCGCCGCACCCATTGCACAGAGGAGAAGGCCGAGGCCCCGACTGAACGGTCCCGTCCCCTCGGCTGTGCTGGGGCTCAGTGGGCCCCGCGCCTTCCCCTGACGGCCGCCGGCCGCTCGCGTCGCCTCCGCCCCCCACGGTTCCCCCTCGGGAGAAACCGAGGCAGAGGGTCCGCGCGGACCCCGGCAGGAAGCGGCGCGGCACGGCCGGCAGGGGGCGCGCCAGGCCCGCTCTCCTCTCCCGGCAGCGGCGAGGGCCCGGCCCGGACGTGGCCGGCTCTGAGCGGTGGGTCGGGCCGCAGGCGCCGGGCCAGGGGTAAGTTCTCCGACCCCAGGGTCGGCCTCCCGAGGCGAGGCTCCTGGGCCGCGCAAGCCTTAGGGTCCACTTTACAGATGAGGAAACGGAGGCCACTAGTTCCAAGTGGCAGATAAGGCGGCCGTGAGCCTGGTCTCCCGGCCCCTCGGGGCGCGCACCTGCTCCATAACGAGCCGCCTCGTTAGCGCATCCGCCTTAATTGGGGCCGGGCCCGAGCTCGTTAAACCCAGAACGAGAACGAAGGCGGCTCTGGGGCCCGGCCAGGGGCTCTGGGGGCCCGGCCTGGGCTCAGGTAAACAACTCGGGCTGGCGCAGAGGAGGCGCAGTGGGGGAGGAGAGGCTCGGGGTCAGGCAGGCCAGGGCCCAGCCCCGCCCCCCCCCCCCCCCCCCGTCACTTCCTGGGCCAATGGGGAGGTTGGCAAGTCCTTTCCCCTGAACGTCCACTGCTCCATCTGGGAAGTCGGGACAGTGACCCTCCTCGGGGTGGAGTTGGCACCCTGGCCAGGAGAACAAGACGCACTGCTCCCCCGAGACGCGGGGAGGGGCCGGGAGCTCTGTGGGCACCAGCCTCTGGGGGCTCACACGCCGGGCAGCAGGGCAGGACCGCCATCTTCGTTTCAGAGATGCGCATACTGAGGCCCTTCCTCCTCCATCACAGCCCCACCCCGAATCTTGGCACAGGTTCCGGAACACCAGCTGGACACCCCCTCTGTGCCTCTCGGCGGGGGGAGGGGGGTCCCAATTAAACTTAATTTTGCAGCTTTACTCTGAGCTGATAGCAGATTTTCCAGAGCACCCATAGGTGGGGATGGATGGGATCAAGTTGTTGGGGGAACCCTGGGGAGGGGGGGCTTTGGAACTGTGCAGGGATAGGGCCGCTGTAACCCATGGGAGGGGCGCGCACAGCCTGGAGTGTGCGGGTCCCTGGGCAGTGCCTGCTCTGGGTGGAGGTGCCCGTGACCACCCAGCGCGGTGTCCAACAGCAGGAGCTGTGAGCTGGGCAGCTGGGTTAGGATCCCACCCCCGTGGTCACAGATCCCGCAGTCACAGATCCCGCAGTCACAGATCCCGCAGTCACAGATGTGCGACGCAGGGTACTGCCTTTCTGGACCCCGGTTGCCCCATCTGTCAAATGAGATACTGGTAGATAGCCACCTGGCAGGGCTATTGGAGGATAAGGTGAGTTAGTTTGTGTCGCGTGGGTAAGCCAGAGCCTGGCACGAGTGGAGATGACGCGTGGTTGGCTGGCATTTTCTTAGGACAGGGTGACAAGCTGGGCATGAGCGTGGGGTGTACACCTGAGAGTGTTGGGGAACAGGTGTCCAGCACCGTGTGCTCAGGGTATGCGGGGCACCGGGGCACGGGTGAGCACAGGGATGTGTCTGAGCCAGCTCCCCGGGGACATCCCAGGCCTGCCCAGTGGTGTCAGCCACTTGGCACCCAGCTGTCCGCCCTGCAGGTGACCTTGGCCTGCCGCTGGGGGAGGGGGTGGCCTGCGGAAGTGGAACTCACTGAGATCTGTGTTTCAGGGATTTAATGTTTCCTGCAGAAGTGGACAGGCCTGCAGCCAGGCCTTTGGGGCTGACCCGGGGGCAGGAGGTGGGAGGAGGAGGAGGAGTTGGAGCTGGCAGAGGCCGGGGCTGGAGCCTCCCCAGCAGAACGGGGTCGGGCCCTGTGACTGCTCTGCAGGCGGCCAGGGGAGCAGTTCCCTCCAAGCAGAGATGAGGGGGCCCTGGGCACCACCCTGGGCAGAGCGCACACCAGCCCCCCCACCTCCTCCCTCTCCACACTCCAGTGTTCTCCCTCCTCTGAGTGCCGGAGGGGACCCTGCTGCTTAGCAGAGGCTCGGACCCCAGGCCCTGGTCTGGGCTTCTGTTAGGCTAAGCCCGTGGTCGGCAAACCGTGGCTCGTGAGCCACATGCGGCTCTTTGGCCCCTTGAGTGTGGCTCTTCCACAAAATACCACATGCGGGCACGCACATACAGTGTGATTGAAACTTCGTGGCCCATGCGTAGAAGTCGGTATTTTGTGGAAGAGCCACACTCAAGGGGCCAAAGAGCCGCAGTTTGCCGAGCCGCGGTTTGCAGACCACTGTCCTAAGCTAAGCGCTGGTGACTGCAGGAGGCGGCTTCCTGGCTCCATCCAAGAGAGTCCCCCACTTCCTGCCTGACCTGGCAGCTGGGAAAAGCTCTGGGCCCTGCCCTGGGGCTGCTGGTGGGAGGGGATGTCCCCAGTTCATACCAGTTGGCCCCTCAGTCCCCTCCCTGGGCCCCTCAGAGTGGACAGGCTGCAGCTGCCTGGGACCCGTCTGCCCTCTCTGCTCCAGCCCTGACCCTCCGCCTGGTCCCAGGCACTCCCCCCAGACAAGCCCAGCGCTCTGCTTGGGAGCCCACCAGCCCTCCTGCCAACAGCATGGCCTCCACACCCCACACTCAGCCTTCAGCTCAGCCAGCCCCTTCATCCTCACATCGTCACAGGCCCGGGCTCTGGCAGGGCTGGGCCGGGCTGGGAGCAGGAAGGGCGTGGGCAGAGGGCAGGGCTGCAGCCTGGCATCCTTGTAGCCAGGCAGGCAGGCTCCTGTGGGGGCCATTTGCCAAGGTGCTTAGGATCTGTTGGCTATTTAGGGTGCTGTAATATTCATGAAGGAAAGATTAGATATTTAAATTTATTCAGTAATAAATGCATCTCAGTGGGGGAGCATTCCTCATGCTAAACAAACAAGCAAGCAGGGGCTAATTAATTATTTACAGGAACTCTAGGAGGCCTTGGCCTGGGGGACACGGGCAGCTGTGCCCCACCAGAGGGCAGGAGACCCTGACCGGCCCTGGGCCTGCCCCTCCATCCCCTCCCCTCCCCCAGTCACCCTCCACTGTCTGGTGGGTCTGGCCACTGCATAACCATTCTGGGGTTTCTCTTCCCAGAAATCCTGCCCACAAGCTTGCTGGTGGCTTTGGGCAAGTCACTTAACCTCTCTGAGCCTCAGAACTGGCCTCAGAGAGTTGTGGGAGGACTGAGATACGCTGAGTGGGGGCCTGGGGGTGAGGGACTGAAGGCCAGAGTCACTTAGCAACTTGTCCAAGGTCTCCCGTCAGAGGCCAGCTGCTCAGAGTGCGAAGCCCGAAGCCTGTCCAGCAGGAGCAGGGACCGAAGGCTCCTGGAGGCAAAGCCACGCTCTCCGCCATGGCCACGTGGGTGTGGCCTTGCCTGCAGCCCGCCCTGCTCTGCCCCGTCTCCTGTCAGCCCCAGGGCAGGAAGGGAGAGGCCGGGCCTGGGGGGCACCTGTGGGGGGGATGTCTCAGAGTCTCTGAACTGAGCTGGGGCTGTGAGGGCAGGGCTGACCCAGGCCAGTGAGACCCAAGTCCCTCCCCCAGCTCCTCCACCCTTGCTGCATCCCTTCATCTCCGTGCCTCAGTTTCCGCATCTGCGCAAGGTCAGCGACAGCACCTCTCTCCAGGGTTGGCCCGAGTGTTCAGTGAGAGAATGCACCAAAGTGCCCTGCACTTTATCACCCTGTCATCCCATTTTACAGATGGGGACACTGAGGCCCAGTCACAGACTCTGTAAGCAGGAGACTACTGTGCCGTTCAGGCTCTGAGGCCTCCTTCACCGGAGGGACAGGATGAGTGGCTGGGGCTTGGATTTCCCTGAGGAAGCCCTGGAGTGAGCTTGAGGCCTGAGGGGCTGGGGGTAGGCTGTGCCTCAAGAGCCCAGGCAGGCACCTGGGTCTGGGCCCTAGAGACCACTCCCCACCCGGGCATAGGGGTGCCCAGCCTAAGGCGAGCCCACTCCAGCCACCTACACGAACACCAAATGCCAGTGCTGGGCAGATGTGGAAACTGAGTCCCTGAGAGGGTACCAGCTGGGTCAAGGGCCAAAGCCTGAGCCGCTGCACCCCCAGGCCTCTGACCCTGCTGAGGGCAGGCCCAGCCATAAAGCCTGGATAAACGACCCACCCACGGGCCATGTGC